CTGCGCCACCAGGGAAGCCCTGAATTAAATTTTTTGTCTTTTCCAGATATATGCCCAGGAGTGAGATTGATGGATCATATGGCAACTCTATTTTTAGTTTTTTTGGGGCTGCGCCGCACAGCATGCGGGATCTTAGTTCCCCGACCAGGGATCGAACCCATGCCCCCTGTAGTGGAAGCATGGAGTCCTAACCACTGGACCGCCAGGGAAGTCCCTACTTGCAGTTTTTTAAGGAACCTCCACACTGTTCTCCACAGTGGCTGCACCAACTTACATTCCCACCAACAGTGTAGGAGGGTTCCCTTTTCTCAGCATGAGGTGGTACCTCATTGTAGTTTCGATTTGCATTTCTGTAATAATTAGTGACGTTGAGCATCGTCTCATGTGCCTGTTGGCCATCTGTATGTCTTCTTTAGAGAAATGTCTGCTTAGATCTTCTGCCCGTTTTTCGATTGGGTGGTTTGGTTTTTTGTTGTTGAGTTGTATGAGGTGTTTGTATATTTTGGAGAGTAAGCCCTTGTCGGTTGCATCGCTTGCAAGTATTTTCTCCCATTCCGTAGGTTGTCTTTTCTTTTTTTTTTTCTTTTTTTTTTTATGGTTTCTTTTGCTGTGCAAAAACTTGTAAGTTTGATTAGGTCCCATTTGTTTATTTTTGCTTTTATTTCTATTGCCTTGGGAGACTGACCTAAGAAAACGTCGGCGCGATTTATGTCAGTGAATGTTTTGCCTATGCTCTCTCCTAGGTGTTTTACAGTGTCACGGCTTACATTTAAGTCTTTAAGCCATTCTGAGTTTATTTTTGTGCATGGCGTGAGGGTGTGTTCTAACTTCACTGATCTACATGCGGCTGTCCTGCCTTCCCAACACCACTTGCTGAAGAGACTGTCTTTTTCCCATTGTATATTCTTGCCCAGGAGAGTTCTTTTCTTTAGGGTTTTCTGCTGTTTTGTTTTGTTTCCAATGCAAAAGTAAGAGCAATCCTGGCTCAGAGAGAGGTGACTTGCTCAAGGTCACACAAGGTCTCACAGCCCCACGCGGGCGTGAGGCCCGTCCTGCTGAGGTCCTGTGCGTGTCCAGCTCTGCTGAGTTGTTTCTCCCACTCGTGGCAGCACGGGAGCGCCTGGCGGTGCCTCTGCAGAGAGGGTGCCGGTATGGTCAGTGGCCCTCTGTCCTTCCTTTTCAGGGTGACTCTGGGGGACCCCTGGCCTGTGAGGAGACGCCTGGCGTGTTCTATCTGGCAGGGATTGTGAGCTGGGGCATCGGCTGTGCTCAGGCCAAGAAGCCAGGCGTGTACACCCGCATCACCCGGCTGAAGGGCTGGATCCTCGCCATCATGTCCTCCCACTCCCTCTCCACGCCCCCGCCGTCCACCACGAGGACGCCCACCAGCAGTCACCCTGCCAGGACGACGGCTGGCCTCACGGTCCTGGGGGTCGTGGCCAGCAGACCCACCCCCTGGGCCACCAGCAGGGTGACCAGCCAACCTGCCAACAGGACCACCACAGCCATGACCACCACCACTAGGGGACAGACGCCACCTCCACACGCCACGGAGACCACTGTGGGCTCCCAGCTACCAGGTACCCAGAGAAATGGAGTGACGTGGGTGGGTGGCGGGAATCCTGTGTCACCTGCTAGGGCTGCTGTCACAGCGTCCCAGTCTGGGGGGTGGAGATGGTGTCGGCAGGGCTGGAGTCCTCTGAGGCCTCTCTCCTCGGTGTGAGGACGGCCATCTTCTCCCCGCATCCTCATGTGGTCTCCCCTCTGTGGGTGTCTGTGTCCTAATCTCCTCTTATTATACGGACACCAGTCATGCTAGATTAGGGCCACCCGAACCTCATTTTACTTTAATCGTCTCTTTAAAGGCCCCATCTCCAAAAGTCCCATCCTGAGGTTCTGGGGGTCAGGGGCTTCCACTTACGAATTTTGGAGGGGACACAAGTCAGACCATCGTAGGCCCCGACGGCAGGGACCCGGCACTGACAGGGCAGATGCACACGTTAACGGCTGGTCCCACAGGCCTAAGGGGGGTACAACAGGGCAGTAACTGGCTGACAGATGAGACAGAGAACGTGGCCCTGAGCTTGCGTCTGAGATGTGGAGTTCATTTTTATTAAATGTTCATCAGAACCATAGGAAACCGCCCTATTTCTGGGTCAGAAGTAAGGCCCCATCTAATGTAGGCAAGTTCCTATGCCTCAGATAGATGCCGTCCACAGTGTCCCGGGCACCAAGCTTAGAACGGGGCCCGGCTTCTGTTCCCCGCCCTTCGTCGCCCCCCACATTCACACAGAGGCTGGCCCAGTCACCCCAAGTCCCCAGATACAGACCTGCACCCACAAAGTCAGGGTTACGGGCTCGCTGCAGCAAGGCAGCGCACACCAAAGAACCAAGGGGCGGCTCACCAGAGGGAGAGGCAGGCGCTGTGGGATCCGGGGCAGGGGGCTGGAGGGGACGCTGAGAGGAAGCGGAGTTTGACCGGCTCAGAGCAAAGCAGACCACGTGCCAGGGGTCTGGACATGGTGCCTCTCCGGGTACCACAAGAAAGTCGAGTCCAGAGACCCCTCAGCTGAGGTGCTGGACTGGGCTGGAAATCGGGGCACAGTCTCTGTGACTGAGATCCTCCAGGCGCAAGGGGAACTCGCTGCCCCTGCCCGTCCAGCAGGGATACTCAGAGGAGGGGGCGTTTTGATACTTTACGGCTGCACCGTGTCCTTGGGAGAAATACGGGTTCTTGTTAACTCTGCAGCCGGCTGTCTCTGGGTCGGGCCTCCAGCCTGGTGATTCTTCCTTTTCCCGTAGCTACAGTTCTCAACGTGGGGGCCAGGAGGTGGAGGAGGGTTCCTGACACGGCACACATTGTTCGGTGTGGGGACAGGAGGGCCTTCCCCGACCATGGAGGGCAGGGGAGGCGGCTGGCTGGTGGGAGACAGGGCTGGGGAGGGGGCACTGGCTGTGGAGCTGGAAAACAGCCTGTGGGAATTATCAGATGTGTACCTGAGCGCGCGCTCCCCCCCCCCCGCCCCCGCCCCGGGTGCCGACGGCGGTCCCTGCAGCACTCCTCGGAGCTACCCGTTTGGTCTTCCTACTCTTGTGTTCCGAGGGTGCACCCTGTGCTGCAGGTGGGGAAGGGTGTCACAGGACGGAGGGACTACCCTGGGAAGGACACTGGGTCACTAGACCCAGGTAAAGAGCCCCTGACAGGGCATCCAGGAAGACCAGCCAGTGCAGGAGCTGGTGAGACCAGGCAGGGCCTCCTGGGAAGCAGCTGGGGTGTGCAAAGGCCCTGGGGCAGCAGGGAACTTGGCTCCTAGGGGCCTGAAAGAGGCCTGGGAGGAGTGGGGAGCGACAGGGGATGCTGGCCTGGCCCCCAGCTGGAGGTTACAGGAACCAAACTTAAATGCATTATCCGAGAAAAGCCCTGAAGAGGCTCGTTTGTAGGACCAAGCGCCAGGCCCAGGGTCCCTGGGGGAAGGCGTTTCCCCGAGGTGGGTCCCCCACCCCACTCCCTGCTCCCAGGCACCGCTACCCGGGACTGCGCGCAGGGGCGAAGCTGGGCGGTCTGCGTGGAGGAGGCGTGGTCTGACCGCCGACCCATGCCCGCCTCTCCCGCAGACTGCGGCCTGGCGCCGGCAGCAACGCTGACCAGAATCGTGGGCGGCAGCGCCGCGGGCCGCGGGGAGTGGCCGTGGCAGGTGAGCCTGTGGCTACGGCGGCGGGAGCACCGCTGCGGGGCCGTGCTGGTGGCCGAGAGGTGGCTGCTGTCGGCAGCGCACTGCTTTGACGTGTGAGTCCCGCCCGCCCCGAATGGCCTGTGTCCGTGGTTCACCGGGACCCAATCGTAGCCCAAAAACTCAGGGTGTGGCGCCTCCGCGCCTTTGCCTGCAAAGCCCTTTCCCGACACCCGCTGCCCCAGGCCATACCCTCTTCCGCACAGCCCTCCCCTGGCCAGACAGGGCAGCGGGGCGAAGTCCAGTGCCCGACCCCCACCAAACGGGGCGGCTCCGGGCCAGCGGGACACCTCCACCCCTAGCACCACCCTAAAGGTCACCCAGTGGGGAGTCCCCTTCCTGGCAGGGTGCGCAGTAGGAGGACCAGGCCAGGGGCCTGCCCTCCACGGAGAAACCCAGCTCAGGATGCGCCTCGCGGTGCCGAGCTCACAGCGGGTGGGCAGGCGGGAGAGCCGTAATATTAGGTGGAAATGGACACAGCTTGTAGTGTCACCTCAGTGCCTGGGGGCCGGCTGGGCGCGTTCAGGCGCGGGGGGCCCCCCCCTCGTCCTCCCTGCTGTTCTAGGACAAAGGGACGACTCAACCGAGGTCAAGTGCCCGATCTGAGGTTTCCCCAGCCGACCGCGGACGCAGCCCCCGCGGGGCAGGGTGCCGGGGAGCCCCGGGCGAGCAGCGCTGGGGTGCGGGGACCCGGGCGGACGCTTGTCCCCGACGTCCCGCAGCTACGGGGACCCCAAGCAGTGGGCGGCCTTCCTGGGCACGCCGTTCCTGAGCGGCGCTGAGGGGCAGCTGGAGCGCGTGGCGCGCATCCACAAGCACCCCTTCTACAACCTCTACACGCTGGACTACGACGTGGCGCTGCTGGAGCTGGCGGGGCCCGTGCGCCGCAGCCGCCTGGTGCGGCCCATCTGCCTGCCCGAGCCCGCGCCTCGGCCCCCCGACGGCGCGCGCTGCGTCATCACCGGCTGGGGCTCCGTGCGCGAGGGAGGTAGGCGCGGATGGGCCCCCCCGCCCCCCGAGGGTTAAGGGTCCGGGGGCGTCGGGAAGGACCCCGCCTGCACCCCCATCGGGAGTCCCAACGGCGCAGGGAGGGCGCGGGCCCACCAGGTCCCTTCTCGCCCGCAGGCTCGATGGCGCGGCAGCTGCAGAAGGCGGCCGTGCGCCTCCTCAGCGAGCAGACGTGCCGCCGCTTCTACCCGGTGCAGATCAGCAGCCGCATGCTGTGCGCGGGCTTCCCACAGGGCGGCGTGGACAGCTGCTCGGTGAGCGCACTGTGCAACTGGACCGGGGCTCCGCGAGCCAGGCCCCACCCTGCGGTGCGCTTCCTCAGTTAGATCAAACAGGGCACCTTTTGGGTCTCCGAGTTTCCACTGGACAGCCACTTCGTGGACACCCCTAAGAAGCCGGCGTTCCCCCCACTGCACCCTCCCCCACCCCTCAGAGGGTCAGGAGCAGGCCGGGCAGAGGCTGTGGGCTGAGGCCCGGTTCTGCTCCTGGACCGCCAGGCGGGTGCCCACCAATGTCTGCCAGGCGGATGAACGCTCACCCGAGCACTGAACCAATCTCCCAGATAATACGAGTGAGGCTCACAGAGGAAGCCACTAGCTGGGGTCACGGGGGAGCCCAGGTGACACTCCCGTGGTGGCCCAGGAGCACGCAGATCAGGCCAGCCCACCCCTGGCTGCTGCCGGGGAGGTACTGCCTGCTCTGAGTTCCTTTCCTCTCTCCTCTCCTTTCCTCAGGGTGACGCTGGGGGACCCCTTGCCTGCAGGGAGCCCTCTGGCCGGTGGGTGCTAACTGGGGTCACCAGCTGGGGTTACGGCTGTGGGCGACCCCAGTTCCCAGGCGTCTACACCCGGGTGGCTGCTGTGAGAGGTTGGATCGGGCAGAACATCCAAGAGTGACCGCCAAACGGCTGCCCAGGCCTGGGACCAGCGACGCGAAGGTGGCAGGAACCAGCCGGCCACCCTTCCAGAGGAGGGGGTCCAGGTGGCAGGCGGGGGGTGGAGGGGTTGTGGGTTAACTGGGGTGCAATCTAACTGCGTATTTTGTTCCAATAAACACAGCCCCCCGTCTGCAGCCCGCTGGCTCAGCCCTCCATGTCACAGAAACGACGACTGCCCGCCCCTCAGCCAGGGCCCAGAGGTGGGAGGAAAGATGGGGGCGGGGAGGCCTTCCCGGAGAGGGCCACCCCCAGCCTTGGGCAGCCTCACCTTCGAGGCTGCCTTTTATGTGACCGACGCTCCCTGTCACCCGGGAACCCAGGAGTGCTCGGGAAAGAAGGGGAGGGGGGCGCTGAGGCTCAGTCCCCACAGAGGCCCCTAGAGGGGAGACGCACAGGGTTCTCTGCGCCGTACTCAGCACCTATTTGTGTGACCCCAGGAGGTCACGGTTCAGAAGGGGTGTGGCCACAACTCCCTCGTCCAAACCCGGATGCTATGCCCAGGGCATGAGGTTGATCGCCCCGAGCGTGTTGCCAGAGCTGCTCCAGGTCTTTGCTCAACTCTCCGGCCCCGACCCTTAGAAGCGTCCTTGCTCACGACCCTCTGACCCCCCCACCTTTAGCGGGAGTGAACACAATCTTTTTAAGTTAAAGGGTCCAGAGCTACACTCACACACACACAAAGAAAAAAACCAAACGGAACCACTGGGACCAAGATGGCGACAAATCTGACCTCCAACAGACCAAGTCTCGTTATACGCTGATTTGACTACATGAGCATATTAAATGACACACCTACCGGCAGCCAAGACCAGGTATTAAGGATCAAAACAGGATAAAAAGAGGGTGACCCCCCCACTCCCTCGGAGAAGCCCTGCCCCTCCCCCGCAGACTACTGCCTATGGGTCCCCAGCATTAGCCTCACTCCTCCTCCCTTTAAAATTAAATCCCCCTCACCAGGGGGGCAAAAAGTTCGTCTGTGAACTTAGCTCCCGCTTCTCCAGTCTCTGGCCACTGAATAAAGCTTGCGCATGTCAGCTTCTGCTTCCTCATTCACCCACTCCCGAACTCGAATGGAAAAAGGACGCCACCCCCATCCCGAGGCAGCCAGCCTTGGCCAGGCGAGCGGGTCCATACGATTCAATTCGGGAACAAATTTTGGCACCCAACGTGGGGCCCATTCCGTCCTGTAACTCAGGGCTGAACTCCCTGACCCGGGGCTGACAAGGTCAGCTAAATAACTGGGCAGTTTGCCCCAGTTCTGAACCTCTGGGCCAGTGAGGACTACTGAATTTAGTCTGAGATCTAAAAGCAGCCAAGGATCAAGTGGAGTGTCCCCCGCGCTGCGTATCTACAGCAAGGACGCTTGCTACAGATCGGGGCAGTGCCCAGGGGACACCTGACACGGGCTGGGCGCTGACCCCGCTCCGGCCGAGGTTTGGCTGTGAGGGTTGGCAAGTTAAGGGAAAGGATCCTGGTCGTCTCCTTGGAGACAGACCTCAGTCTAGAGGACTGGACTGATCAGTTGGTCATCTAAATAGAGCCGACCCCCTGGCAAGGGGAGAGGCGAGATCGCACAACTGGTTCCCAGTTTGACTGGTTCCTGGCAAGGGGACTGGACTGGACAGGAAGCCCTCCAGACGCCATGGCGTGGCAAGAACACCTCCTTGTTTCATACGTGTGTGATGTGCGCCCTAGTCTCTGTTCTCGGCGCAGGGAAGCGTCAGGCTCTGATCTGTGTGGCCTTGCCTGTCCTAGTGCTCTTGGAAGTAGTACGTGCCGCAACCACAGGTACAGGCTGAGTGCCTACAGGCCACTAGGGCGCTCGCCACCAAACACACTCTCGTGAAAGGGTGCGTTGGTCGTGGACCAGGGTAGGTGAGCGCCAGGCCCGCTGCCAACTGGAAGCACGCAGTAGAACACTCAGCCCCACCGCTGCAGAGTTCCCACCTCTAGGCTCTACTCGGAAACCCAAGAGCACATCTTGTGTTGCTTCCTCTTGCCCTAACTGGCCATCCCGGGCAGGGTCCACATCTCTCTCAGGCAGGTCTCTCCCCGCTACCCTCCATCGCAGGTCCCTAGGGATCCCTCCTCTGAGACACAAACCCTTTAAAAATCTTGTTTTTGCCATATTTCAGGAAAATCACTTTGCCTGGCTGGGGAAGGAAGAGGACCTCCACATTGTTCAAAGGCCTTGGGTCCTTGTGGCTGAGAGTAGAGAAAATTGGATACATGCCAGATGGGCACTCGGCCTCCCTGCCTGGTTACCTGTCACCGAGCAGGGACACGCCCTCTTTGAACAGACCTCCTTGCCTGCCAGGGAGGCCCTGCGGGCAATTCGCCTGATTGGAGAGAGAACCTCCAATTCCTACTCCGCCTTCACCCCATCTCCAGGGACTGGTGGCTGAAAGCACCCACCTACACTGAGTATCTCCTACAGCCCCACAATGGGTCTGGGAATGTCAACTCGCTGAATTAAAAGGAGGCCGTGTAACCAAGGCCCTCTCAGAGGGCGCCTCCCCTTCCAGCCCCTAAGCATACTGGTTCAGGTTTCAGTTAGAGCACCGAGACCTCTTGGTGTGGGATCCATACACTTACCAACCCTGGAACTCCCTTCTCCCCACAGCACTTTTCAAAATGCAAATAGCAGACTTCCCTGGTGGCACAGTGGTTAAGAATCCACCTGCCAAGGCAGGGGACACGGGTTCGAGCCCTGGTCCAGGGGGATCCCACATGCCGCGGAGCAACTAAACCCGTGTGCCACAACTACCGAGCCTGCGCTCTAGAGCCCGCGAGCCACAACTACTGAGCCCATGTGCCACAACTACTGAAGCCGTGCACGTAGAGCCCGTGCTCCGCAACGAGAAGCCACTGCAATGAGAAGCCCGCTCGTCGCAACTAGAGAAAGCCCAGGCACAGCAATGAAGACCCAACACGACCAAAAATAAATTAATTAATTAAAAAACACCCCAAAACGCGAGGTTACTTCTAATCTCTCTTCTGGTATTGGAGTCTCAGCCTGAGGGTCCTCGTGACCTCCTCCCTCCACCAAGGGCAGCTACTCCCCTTCTGACAGTTCACCTGAGACTCCTGAGTCATCTACCCCTACCTCTCCTGGTTCCCTGATGCCTTCTACTCCCCCCAATCCACCACCCCCTACCTGCTGCCCCCTTCCTGACTCTCCCACCTCCATCTCTCCACAGCTCCCTCGCGGATCAGTCCACTGCACACCCATAGCCGCGTTCAGTACCAGCCCTTTGGAATCAGTGGGCTATTCCCCCTTCAGGAGGTCCCCAGAGGAGGGGGCAGTATGACCATATGTACGTACCCTTGTCTTCCCAGATCTACATAACTGGAAGGATAGATCCAAGGGTTTGAAGGATACCCCAAGGGAGTCCTTAATTTAGTCCAGGGAATATTCACACCCACTTCCCCACTTGGCGGCTGTCCAAACCCTCCTGAACATCTTATTCTCCGGGGAAGAGAGGGCACTGATTGTAACTAGTGCAAGGGAGGAAGCTGATGAGACCCATCAAAATAATGCAGGACACGCTCTACACCCGCCTGGAATCCAGGCCGTTCCCAGCACGGACCCTGGGTGGGGCTGCTGAGAGGAAAACGGCCGGCAGCACCTCACGCGTTTCAGGGGTGTGACTGTGAAGGGCATTCATCCGGCAAAGAAGAAACCCATAAACGGGACTAGGGTTCAGGGATCATCCGGGGCAGAAGGGAGACCCACCCCCCCCAACCCCGGCTTTCCTGGAATGCCTCAGGAGTGCCGGCGTGTACGCGGACGTGAGCCTGGGGTCAGGGGCAGGGCAGGCCGTTCTCAAGGCCCATTCCACTTCCCAGAGCGCCCGGACACGAGGAGAAAACGACAGAAGTTGGAGACAAGGCCCCCAGGCCCCCTTCCCAGGGCTGGAGCCAGCATTTCGGGGCTTCAAGAACCGGGATCTGCGGGCGTTTGCTGAGGCAGGCAGACGAGCAGAACCAACTGGCAGTATTCTGGCTTCCGTGACTCAGGGTCACCAGCGGCCCTGTGATGGTGCTCCCTCCTCCCCACCACCGAAGGGACCCCGTGACATCCATGAGTCGCCAGGGTTTCGAAGACCACACCCACAGTGGAGAGCGGGGCTCAGGGCCAATACAGGGTGCACAGTGCCTGGAGCAGAGCCACTGGAAGGGGGTGCCCCAAAGGTCTCGGAAGGAAGCCAAGGGGACCACGGTGTCCTGGCCCACCCTCACTGGTTCCACAAGGGGAAGAAGAAGAGGGCTGAAGGGGCCCAGGGGCTCCCTGAAGGAGCCTCGGCTGACCCTGACCGTCGCGGGGAGAACCGTTGACATTCTAGTCACACGCGGGCTACCTACTCAGTCCTGAGCATCCAACAAGGCAGGATGACCGAAGAAAAATGTACAAGGATGGGAGTGGACGGGGAGCCACAGGAGCGTAATTTTATAGAGCCCTTTTGAGCGTGGTTTGGAACAGAGAACGTCATCTCATTTTTCTATGTCCCGAAACGCCCAATTCCTCTAACAGGAAGGGACCTACTATACAGATTGGCAGCTACACTTTACCTGAGACAAAAACCTTACCACTGAAACACCTAAGACCCGCTTCTGTTCTGCAGCCCTAGTGTTACTGCTCTCGGCCAAAAATAGTGGCCCAGGGGGTAAGGCTCCACGCTCCAATGCAGGGGGCCTGGGTTCCATCCCTGGTCGGGGAACTAAGATCCCACGTGCCATGGGGCAACTAAGCCCGTGCGCCGCAACTACTGAGCCCATGCACCACCATGAAAGATCCCGCGTGCCGCAAGGAGGATCCTGCGTGCCACAACTAAGACCCGGTGCAGCCAAATAAATAAATTAATTCATTATTTTTTTAAATGGCCCCATTATCCTTAAGGGGGTTAATCCCTCTGTAGAGTCCTGCAACACTGTGGGCAGAGCCGGGAGGGCACCGCT